TTCAACATAACGATGTCACATTGTTACCATGGCCACCAAGATCTCCCGACTTATCCCCAATTGAGCACGTGTGGGATATGATGGGTAGGAGATTGCTCAATTTGCAACGTCCTCCTCAGACTCTAAAAGCACTTCGAGAGGAGTTGGTGGTTGCCTGGAATGAGATACCACAGGAGGACATTGACCACCTGATCAGAAGCATGCCTAGGCGCGTTCGAGAATGCGTAGCACATCAGGGTACATCCACACATTATCAAAGGTCAAAGGGCTTTAAAGCAGTGCAATCATTTTGAAATTTTTATCATTTACTTATTATGCTTCATTAAGTACTTATACAAAATTTTATTAAAATAAAACCATTTAAACTGCGTGTTCGGATTTATACGTAACTTAGTATATTATGAGTATTGATTCCCCGTTTCCGACTTGACGTCGCCTTGTGTTCGTGGTCGAAGAGGACTACGTCGGGCTTATTTCTCGTTCTCCACAACGGACTCAATATCCAATCAATATTATTATGTCCGAAACCAAACGTTATTTCAAAAATAGATCGTTGGAATATTTATCAGGGAACCAAATAAGTTCGTGCGGTTTTTAGTGGAAAAATATAAAATTTTATTGAGAAACAATAAGGCACTATTTATTCGTCGAAGTAATTACCATCAAATTCAATGACCTTTTGCCAACGTTGAACCAATTTTTGTCTGCTGGTGTTGTAGACCTCCCTGCATTTGGAGTCGAAAAATTGGCCTGCATTTATTACACCATCTCGAGTTGTGAACTGTCGTACAGTTGTCAAGAGATAAAAAACGGTGAGGTAACGTTTCCCAGCCGAGCTCAGAAATTTTTTCTCGGGTCACTTTTGCGGTATGAGGCAAGAATATCACTTTCTTCCGATTGATCAAAGAAGGCTGTTTCTGGATGAGTGCTGCTTGTACTCGTTGAAGCTGTTCACAATACAAGTTAGCAGTGACGGTTTGACCCCCTTCCAAAAACTCATAATGGACAATTCCAGTTGCGGTGCACCAAACACACAACAAAACCTTGTTTGGGTGCAAGGAAGCCTTGGACGTGCGTGGTACCGAATCAGCAGGCGACAACCAACGATACGAACGCTTAGAATTCGAATACATATCCACTTTTCGTCGCAGGTTAATAACCGGTTAAGAAATGGTACATTAGCGTTGCGTGAAATGTTATCATTTGTCAGTTCATTTGCTTAACTTCTAAGTCTTTCCTAGCTGATGAAGATGCAAACGAATAGTTTCAGGACTCACTCTGAGCATTTCTGCAAGTTGAGAACAAAAGGATTCATACTAAAGTGACAATAGGTGACAAACGATCGCTATCGATCAACAACATCCATGGCAATGTGCGATATACAGCAACTGCACGAAGCTGATACTTATGCGTAGTAGTATATTTATTTTTAATTGAGAATGAAGTGTCAGATAAATCAACTGGTCTAAGCGTTGAGCGAACATATGGAATGGACACCTCATCCACTAATATATCTCCACCATATACTATTTGCAATGATTATAATATTGAATTGAGTTAAAAATAAATGTTCAATTACTGTGATCTTATTAATTCTGCTATGTGGAATACCTGGTATTTCCGTGATATTAAGTACTGTCACTATTACTTACCTTTCTAAGTTTACTAAGTTGATGCTGTGAAATTGAGCATTGTAATCATGTTATCCATGATGGAGGTACGTTTTCACATTAAATTATCTCTTGTCGATCGACAGCCCTCTCCTTCTGGCATGGATTACGATCAGTTCATATCCAGTCTGCTAGACACTTGCATCGGTAGGACCGCGAATCGCGTGATCGACACGCGAGGATCGGAAATATTTCTCCACCATTCCAAGGATGAATTACCGCAGCTGGAGACGTATAAGTACGCCAACGTTAAGAAACTAATATACAGGGTGTTTCAGTTTATTGTTGCATAACTTTAAAATTCGATAGAACTTTTAAAATTAATGCATAAAGTCTATATAAACATAGGTCGAAAAATGCGTGACTTCCGAAATACAGGGTGTTTAAATTTACGTTTGAAAATAGTTTTTTTTAAATATTTCGAACAATATTTGATGTATAACAGTGAAAATTGGTATACAAGGGTTTTTTGGTACGACAAAACGAACTATGGGCATAGTTTTACTGTACCCGCTAGAGGGCGCTCTCTACTGTACCTGTAGTGTATTAAAATGACCGAAAAATTTTTCTTAGTGCAATTTTTTGCTTTTTGATCAAAAAAACTGATTCTTCGCACTTTTCTGCATAAAAAAGCTCTATTGTGAGTTTTCGTTATAGCTAGCCGTTTTTGAGATATTTCGATTTTTAAGGTTCGATGCATTTTTAATTATATATGGGAAAATAATATTTTTTTTACATTTTCGATTTGGGAATTACAAGTAATTAAGGTGATCGTTTAGATTGTGTTTTTAAACACAGCAATAATTCCTAATTCCAAATAAACACAAAAAATAGAATATTAATTTGTTTAATTGTCCAATATTATTTTTAACAAATTAAATTAATTATTTACAACTAAAATGCTATTGGATAGTTAGGACAAACAAGTAGTTGCTCGAAATGTAAACCCAATTGTTCAATACACAATTCACATCTACGAATGATCGAACGTGGTATAGCATTATTCAAATAAGGCCTTATTTCATCACATGCATTGCTGATTCTGTCTATTAGCATATCTCTTGTGGTTACGGGAGTCTGGTACACTTTTTCTTTTGGAAATCCCCACACAAAGAAATCGAACAGATTTAGGTCAGGGGATCGTGGAGGCCAGGCGACTGGTCCTCCACGGCCGATCCATCTTTCTGGATAATTTTCGTCCAGCCAGTTTCTAACTATTCTCGAATAATGAGATGGACAACCATCAAGCTGGAACCAGGCCAATCTTCTTAAATCTAACATAACATCATCCCACATATTTGCATGTTCAGCCTTTAAAAATTCCAAGAAGGTCGCAGCATTTAACCTTGCAGGCAAAAGGTAGGGTCCAAATAGTCGATTACGGTAGATACCAATCCATACGTTCACACTAAATTCATGCTGAAAATTTCTTTCCCGAACTGCATGCGGATTTTCATGCGACCAAATATGTTGATTATGAAAATTTACCACTCCACGTCTAGTGAAGCATGACTCTTCGGTCAGTTCTATCAAGAATCCACTGACAAAATGTGATTCTTCGTTCTCCGTCCCCTGGCTGTAGTCCTTGCACAGGTTGCAAATGGTAAGGACGTCTATGGTCATTTCTAAGAACACGGTGAACATGGCTTGCTGAAATTCTCAAGGCACCAGAAACTCTCCTAACACTTGTGGCCGGATCTCTATCAAACTCACGCAGAATCATACAGGTAAATCTGCGCTGACGAACATTTATCTTTTGATCCCTTTGGAGATTTCCAAAACCATTTTCAATTATTTGGCGATGCACTCTTACAAATACTGAGCGAGTTGGATGTCGTCTGTTTGGAAATCTTCGTGCGTATCCTCTGGCTGCTTCTGCTGCGTTTCCATTTACAAAGCCATACACAAAATGAATATCCGCTAACTCTTGACTTTAGAATAAAAATGGCATTTTTATAAAACTTACAAAAAAAAACAGGTAAAAGAAACTAAATTTCGTGCATTCACAATTGCAAAAAAACGTTTCAGGTTTCAACAGACAACAAAACTAACTGTCAACTAATTGACGTTTAACCTTATTCTGCTTTCAATTTCAAAAATATTTGCAGGCACAGCCTACTTCTAAAAATTATCGAGATACTGACTTTTTAACGTTATTTTATCATAAATAATTAAATATGCATCGAACCTTAAAAATCGAAATATCTCAAAAACGGCTAACTATAACGAAAATTCACAAGAGAGCTTTTTTATGTTGAAAAGTGCGAAGAATCAGTTTCTTTATTCAAAAAGCAAAAAATTGCACTAAGAAAATTTTTTCGGTCATTTTAATACACTACAGGTACAGTAGAGAGCGCCCTCTAGCGGGTACAGTAAAACTATGCCCATGGTTCTTTTTTTTGTACCGAAAAACCCTTGTATACCAATTTTCACTGTTATACATCAAATATTGTTCGAAATATTAAAAAAAAAACTATTTTAGAAAGTAAATTTAAACACCCTGTATTTCGGAAGCCACGCATTTTTCGACCAATGTTTATATAGACTTTATGTATTAATTTTAAAAGTTCTATCGAATCTTAAAGTTATGCAACAATAAACTGAAACACCCTGTATATTAATATTTTTTTCAAAAATGAATGGGGCCTACTGAAACGACAGAAAACTAAGCGATTTTCATTCTTTTGTTTTTTTGCCCCTAGCTCCGCCGCCACTGGGTCGATTTTCAAAAGCTTTGGAGCTCGTCCGACCTTAGCATAGTAGTAACCTTCTGTGGAAATTTCATCAAAATCCGATCGGTACTTTCCAAGATATAGCGAGGTCAAGGATTAGCAGTACTTCCACGCCGGTGCGTACGAAGTACATTGAAAAAAGAATAAAAACTGTTCAATCTTCGTTTTTAAAGGAGCCTTATGAACTTCAAAAAAATATTTGTGGGGGTTAGTTTGAGATATTTCATATATCATAGATTTTCCCCGTATATTTTCCCTGTAACCTTGATTAATCGAGGTTTATTTTCAATATACGCGTGTCAATTATATGTCTGAACCACCATGTATGCTTGTTAGGTACTATTTCTATATAACAACTATAATTCCATTTATGTTGCCTCATTTTACTTGCGCTGGAAATATGCTAATAAAACTGTAAATAGTTATAATAAATATAAATAATAATTGAACTTTTTCTGCGCTTAAAAACCGGCAAACCGTTCAGGCAACTATTTTATATAAACACAACCATGTGCATGCCTTGCGAACGGAATGTCGAAAGAAAAGTGCTACCACGACCTTCCAAGTCGCTGTACGATGAATTTTTTTCCGATTTCAGATTGACTCCAATCTATGCTTTTGTCATATTCTATTACGCAACGATTTTCAACCACTCCGGAGAGGGCCCGTTATGGAAAGTGGTGGCAGGTGGAGATTCCAAGGATTGCAGAAAGAACTGGTGGACGAATTTGCTGTACATCAGCAACTATGTCAACGCGGATCATATGGTAAGTAACTACATGTATATTAAGTGACATATAAATCCGAACACCCAGTTTAAATGGTTTTATTTTAATAAAAGTTGGTCAATGTATTTATCTTACTGTAAATAACAAGTGAAACAATTTTCAGCCTTATCAGTTGGACGTTCCGGTTTTTATACTGCTTTTTTTTAATTCACTAACGCTCTAAAAATGAATATTTCAGCCGCAGTAAAGAATCAATGTTGGCGGATTTTGGTTCTTGACATCCTTTACGATCGGTTACGATGCCTAGAGTACGGAGACCTGTACGATTTCGTCAACTTAGTGAGTTTGATAGGGGCCGTATAGTGAGACTTCGGCAAGCTGGACTTTCTTTTCGGGCAATTGCAGTTAGAGTGCAAAGAAGTGTAGGCACTGTGGTTAGGTGTTGTCAGGCATGGCTTCGAGCAGGCCGTACGCAAATGCAAGGGGCACTGGACGCCGCCGTAGAACAACAGACCGTGAAGATCGCCGCCTAAGATTATTGGCCTTAAGGGACCGTTTCTCCACTACCAGGTCCATTGCAAATGAATGGTTTGCAGAACACGGAAGACCTATTGGCATGCGAAGTGTTTACCGACGAATGAGAAGTTTTGGCTTGTTTTCATACCGGCCACACTGGGTCCTCCCTTTAACTCGAGAACACCGACGTAATCGCCTTGAGTGGTGCAGACAACGGTCACTCTGGGATCAGGAATGGAACCACATTGTCTTTAGTGACGAGTCTCGATTTTGTTTAGGCATGCACGATGGTCGTGCCAGGGTTAGAAAGCGACGTGGTGAAAGGAGGAATCCACAGTTTTTTGTTGAAAAACATGTTCATCACACTGTTGGAGTTATGGTTTGGGGTGCTATACCTTATGGTTCCAGGTCCCCTTTAATCTTCATCAGAGGTAACATGAACGCGCAGCGTTATATCCACGAAGTTCTAGAACCCCATCTTTTACCATATCTTGACACCCTGGCAGATCCAACTTTCCAACAAGATAATGCCCGACCACATGTTGCAAGAGTTACAATAGACTTCTTTCAACATAATGATGTCACATTGTTACCATGGCCACCAAGATCTCCCGACTTATCCCCAATTGAGCACGTGTGGGATATGATGGGTAGGAGATTGCTCAATTTGCAACGTCCTCCTCAGACTCTAGAAGCACTTCAAGAGGAGTTGGTGGTTGCCTGGAATGAGATACCACCCGTAGCACATCAGGGTGCATCCACACATTATTAAAGGTCAAAGGGCTTTAAAGCAGTGCAATCGTTTTGAAATTTTTATCATTTACTTATTATGCTTCATTAAGTACTTGTACAAAATTTTATTAAAATAAAACCATTTAAACTGGGTGTTCGGATTTATATGTCACTTAGTATATTACGATTATAAACGAAACAAAATATGGAAAAATGACATCAAGAAAACGTTCGAAAACTGAGCAATCAACATAATAGAGTTATTAAATCAGTATATTGATTTAACATTTTTCCAAATGGCGTTTGAATTTTTGAAATTGAAAATACGCCGCTAGCGGTCATTGCAGGAAGCCGAAAATAATTTCCAGCAATTTCTCTTGGCTGCTTTGGTGACGAAGTTTTTTAACGGATGGAGGGCACGCCTCCCAAGGAGGACATAGAGAGATGTCAAGGGGGGCGGGAAGCGTTTGCATTTTAGAAAGAAAAAACAAAAAAAGAAGAAGAAACTCATTGGACTTTGCACAGATGGCGCATCTGCAACGATAGGTCTACGATCGGGCTTAGCTAAAAAGCTCAAGGAAAAAATCCCGCAGTGGTTGGTACACAGTGGCCCTAATGAATAAAAATGTAGGAATTGCTTTGTCTCAGCAAACAAATAATGGTTGAGAAACCCTGCTCTAGCTTGGGCCGCTGCTGGCGTACTTTATTATTGAGTCACCCGGTACACACCTACATATCCAGCGAGTTAAACTGCGCGACGAAAAGCTACAGTATACTCAGATAAGAGATAGACCGGACATAAACAAGACCATGTGATCATCGAACGCTGTAACATTCGGCAGGGACGTATTAAGAGTCACGCAGTACATATTTTAGATAGTAGATGCTGCTTTGCGTAACTTTGTAGTAAATTAGCACAATTCGATGTGTATACGATTGGTGATGGATATAGGATCATGTGGGGGTGGGGTAAGAAATACATATATAATGATGTGAATATACATAAGGGTTTCAAAATTTTCGCTTCGATTTCCAGCTTCGGATGCCGCCTGATGTTTGGTGAAATACAGTCGAATATAATCTCAAAATGGCGTTTAAATTAGCCTAAATTAAAAATAATCGTATATCTCTTAAAATTGCTTTTAGAATATTGATTAGTATATTTTTTGATTTCTAGGTAAATGTGTAACCGAATTAAAACGTTCAAAACGTAAAAAAATGTGCATGGTTGAACATTGTCAGAAAGTAGATTCTTGAATAGGTTTTGCCAAAATGGGTTCAAAAATGTCAATAATTAATTAAAGAATACAGTAGCTTTATAATTACTTATAACTTACCGAATTTGATGAACGACATCTTTTATTGGAAAGATGAGCCTGATGAGCTTTTATCATCGCTACTGCTTGAAGCACCAACGTCAATAATGAATGGCTCGACTTGATCCTCTAAAATATTGTCCAGTTCCCACATTCTCTTTTCAACTTTGTCTTTCACGTGCTTAATACAGTTTTCCCATTTTTGCGCTGTTATTAATTCTAGTGCTTCTTTGAAAAGTCCTTTGAGGTCACAAAATTTAAAAGTTGTATTGTGCTTAGCTATATAATTTTTAACCTCTGCCCATATGAGCTCAATAGGATTGAGCTCGCAATGGTATGGAGGTAAACGGAGCACAGTTTTCTTTTGACTTGCTGCCATTTCGTCAATGGCGTATTTTTGATATTCCGCCTTGTGATCCTTGACAATTCTTAATAATTGTACTTTCAGCATTGCTTCTTCAAAGTTGATATTTTTCGAGCGGAGCCAATTTTGAACATCAACTTTCCTTGAAGCCGTTGTTGGGACCTTCTCCATTCTTCGAGAATGATAAGGCGCATTATCCAACACAATTACTGCGTTTTCCTCTAAGTTCGGTAAAATTTTTGAAAACCACTGTTCAAACGATTCGCCATTCATTTCCTCGTGGTAATCTCCAGTTTTCTTAGACTCAAAGCACCACAGACCGTCAACAACAAATCCATCCTCACTGCCAATATGGCAGATAATGAGCCTTTTCCCTTTACTTGGAAATCGAAGTACTAACTGGTGTAGATTTATTTCAATAAGCGAACCTTTTTCAAATGTTTTCATCACATTCAGCGAAAAAACATTGAGACATGAGTATCAGATTGCTATAATTGGGATTATTTAGTCATATTGAAAGAAAGAATATTGAACGTCGTATGATTACTCAGCGCTTCACAATTTAATTTAAAGTTATAAACCTTTAAAAAATGAATAATCAGGAACCTGAAATACGCGCAAATATTAATATTAACAAATTATAACTTTATAAAGCTTAAAGTATGAATTAAAATGATTAGAAATATTAGGAACGGTACACAATATAAAACTTAGTAACTTTTTTTAAGTTTATAATTATATATAATAACATATTTTAAGATTATATTAAAAAATTATTGAAATATCGAAAACACATAAAAACATGGCTTAAAAAAGTTCTAACAAATGAAAATGACAATACAACATCCACGCATTTTATCGAAATTTTATAAAAGTTTTGTTACTTGTAATATGTTTTATCTGCCCCCTGGAATTAATGTTTAGAACCTTGTTCCCAAGGTTTGAAAAACATCCGACTGTTGTCTATTACTCGTATTTACCTGCTGGATTTTTTAATCCGGTGGACAGTCCATCTAGAAAGGCCCTCCTGGATGAAGTTACAGAATCATCAACCCATACTTTACTTGTAGTGTGTCCTGCGTTTACCCACGTTTCATCAAGGTAATAAATCTTCCTGTTTTGATTTCTATATTTCCCAATTTTTGTTAAATAATCCCTCCTCCATAGCACAATTTCTTCTCTATCCAGTAGTAAACTATTACGACCCCGTTTTTCCCATTTGAAATTTAAATGCTTCAGTAACGCATGGAAAGTTGATCGTTTGAAATTTGGCAACGTTGTATCTCCATTTACCTCCTGCAGTACTTTATCTATAGTAGGTATTTCACTCCTAAAGAAGAATTCATGAACTTTCCTCCTAATCGCATGCTTATCAGCTTCATCCAATGCTTTAACAATACTTTTGCGATGTTTACTGGTCATTGGCTCAGAAAAGGTGTGCTTTTTTTTGTATTGTCTTAACACATTAAACACTGATACGCGACGCACCCCAACTTTGTGAGAAACCTTCACAACAATTTCTTTGATGGTTGATGCCTCGTTCTCCTCGCGCTCGATCTTATATATATTCAAAATGACCTCTTTCATTTCTGAACTCAGGTGTCTTTTTTTAGAGCGTTTCCTAGGTAGACTACAGAAGTTTACAACTTCATCGGCAGTATCTGTACTACTGGGCATTTTGCGCAAGCAGTTGATAACAATAACAATCAATAACAAGGTATAACAATAACAACGACAAACTCAACAACTTAATAAGATAACAAACGAAAACGTCCAAAGAAATATCAAATTGCAATGATGCACACGACATACGTAACACGTCTGAACCTGAATGTGACTCTGCCTTGATACGACTGCTCTGCCGTCCGGCATAGGCATTTAATTGCGAATTGACCAATGAGGGCTCCTGTTTTACGTCGAGACGGCGGCGTTAGCGTGAAAATCACCCGAACCTTTTGTTTACATCCGGTCTATCTCTTATCTGAATATACTGTAGTATTACCAAATATCAATGTGCCTGAATGTTTCCACGGAGACATCAACGGTCGCGCAGGCAAGAAACCCTATTTGTGTTTGAGATATGGTGAATGAGTATGATTTTTTGATCCGGT